GGGGGGGGGGGGGGGGGGGGGGGGGGGGGGGGGGGGGGGGGGGGGGGGGGGGGGCTCATGGGCATGTGCCCACCCCCTGCCACCCCAAATTCCTGGCTGCAGCAGATGGGTCTGTCCCGCCGCAGCTTTGATGGCCCCAGCAAAGAGCTGGGGCTGCCGTCACCCGTGGCAATGGGCGACGCTCACGTGCGGGACCCCTGTGCCGGTGCCACCGCGTTTCCCTCTGCTCCGCTGCAGGGTTCTGCCTGCACAAGAATCGCGTTGCAGGCAGCGACCGGCCAGGGGACGAGCCCGCCTGTGCAGGCAGCAACCGGACGTCCTGTGACAGCGATGTCACCCAGCACCGTCACTTGTCTATTTTTAATAGTAGATGGGTTTTTGGTTTTTTTTTAGCTGTGGAGGTGGGAGAGGGAAAGGGCCGGTCTGTGCGTGCGGCCCCTCGGGTTTTATGCCGCTTCAGGGATTTTTGTGCTGCTGGTTGGGTTTGCTGGGACCAGTGGGAAGGTCCTGGGTGCTGCTGGTTTCTCTGATGCAGCCGGCAAGGAGCCGCGGGGGGCAGCCGGCCCCGGGGTCCCCGTTGCTCCTTCCTCGGCAGGAGATGGACGTGCGGCTTTTGCACCCTGAGGCAAAGCCAAGCTGTGCCGGGAGGTGCTGGGGAAGGGGCACCACGGCCAGACCCTTGGGGCAACGCCGGGATGCCCGTGTCTGGAGGCGTGGGGGCCGTCGGGGGACCCCCGCTGCCAGCCCGGACCTCACACCACCATGGGGGTCTGCCAGGCTCGGCTGTGCCTGGTTAGTGCCGGGAAGAGGGTGAGCCTTGCCCTGCCATGCACTTCGTCCACGTTAGGCAGGAGCGGCAGCTGCTTGACCGTCCCCGCTGCCGAAACCACAAGCGCCAGCCGGAGGGGTCGGAGCTGCCTGAGTCAGAGAAAATGTGACTCTGACGGACAGATTTCGCGATCGGCATATTTACGGCACCAGGAAATCCTCTGGCTCCTATTTAGCAGGTCTAAAAAAGCCTCTGGCAAACCCAAAATAAAATGTGCAGTGGCAGTGCCGTGAGGAGTG